GATGCAGTATGCTCCTAAGCTCTTTTTGCCTCAGGGGATGTGGCAGGTCCTCCTAAGTAATCTGATTACTTGGGCGAACGTCTGCCCGCGCAGCACGTCCTTAGCGGAGACTTTGCTCCTGTGTGCGTTCTGCTGGTTCCTCGGTTTCCTTAGTGGGGCGGTTGTGGTGATCCTTCTGGTATCCGCTAGGTGCCGTCATATTCTGTGGCTGCTCATTGGCGAATTCCTGGGACCCCCTAGAACCCCTGCCACTCCCTCAGGAGAAAGTAGGCTAGCGGGATACCGGCGCCCTTGAATGGTTGTCACTGTCTCCACTACTGCCTCTTCGTCGCGAGTGGTAGTTACCGTGGAGATTGAGGCCACTGTTCAATCCGAGGAACCTGCTGAGGCGACTGCTGAGTGGGAAGTAGTCCCGCCGGTGCGGCCCGTGCTCCAAGCCGCAGTCCGGGATCGTCTTGCCAAGAAGCTTACTTCGAGGAAGTCGGTGGTGAGCCCTAAGGAACGGATTTCAGCTGCTTTTGAAGCTGGAAAAAGTACAGCGGCCTTAGACCTCCTCGTTGAGGAAGTCGTTCCACCCCCGAGCCTTGGAATCCAGAATAGCTGTTGGCTTGGCATCCGCCCGAACCACACCGCTTGGTTGGCTATTCGTCATCGTATCGCTCTAAAGCAACTTCGGTTGGAGGACACTACACGCCTGGTGGCCTTCGCATCACAGGCAGAGGCCGAGGCCTTTTGCTTGGGCTTGGGATTGAGCACCTTGCCCCCGAGCCTTTGAAATGCCGTGGCGAGTCCTTGGAGTGCGCAAAGCCACCTCGTTGGTGGTGGCTGAGCAGGGGCCACCGGAATGGCTTCTGGCGAGGTTGGGCGAACGGGAAGCTGCAGCATTGCCAGTGCTCCGCCGGCCAGGTGGCCTGCTGCTGGCTATCTCGGCGGGGGCGATTACTCCCGAGCAGATCGCTGCGGGCACCATTGCGGGCATCACAGGCGACCTTGGCCCAACCACAACAGTGGTGGTAGAGGGCTTTCTCGAGGACGCCGACGCCGACTCCATCGAGGTGGAAATGGTGTTGGTGGATTGGCCGGCTCCGCTCTACAAGCACCTAAGGGCTGGGGGAGTCAACTGGCCGGCCAACACAGTTTGGCCCCACAATGGGGACGAGATCGTGAAGGCGGTCAATACCGATCAGCTGGCAACCTTGGCCCGAGAATGGGTACAGCAGGACGAGGTGGCAATTTCGGAGGCGTATGCGACGGCAGTGGAGGCACCTGCCGGAGCGGCGCCCAATCCCACCGAGGGCCTCCTCAACCAGTTGCTGGAGCAGATGCAGGCCACTGCGGCTTCAGTGGCGAACCTCCGAGCCGATGTGGATGTCATGAAGCAGGCCCCGCCACCTCCAAACAAGAGCCCGGTGGATGCCTTGGCTCAGGCACAGCAGTTGGTTGGCCCGGCGCCTCGCACCCGAGCTGCAGCCCAAGATGTGGCATTGGCCGCCCCCCGGGGCTCAGGTGCCCTCGACGGCGAGGCACTCGAAGGGGGTGCCGAGGTGGATGCGGCAGGGGACATCAGCACCGATACACTGCTCAAGACGGCCCTTGTCAAGCTGCTCGAGGGCCAGACGAAGAAGAAGAAGACCAAAGCGCCCGGCCTACCTTTGTCTCAGGCTCTTTCCGACAGCGACGACGAGGAGGACAGCGCCGACCCTCTTCGCAAGCTGTCGGGTGCCCGAGGAACAATGCTAGCAGAGCGCCTTCGGCTTTCGATGGAGAGCTGCCCCCAGGACTACATTGCGGCGATCGAGTCTCTGGCAGCGCAGATGGTGGGCGACCATGTGCCAGGGCCATCCACAATGGAGAAGTATGTGAAGGAGCAGCTCCCCATGGGATCCGAGCGTGGCCTCGGCTATATGGCATGGGGCTTAGCCAGGGCCCTGACCCTCATACGTGCGGGCGAAAAGGACAAGTGCCATCTGGTCTTGCTACTGTTGGTAGCCGCTCTAGAGCAATATCGGATCGACGGAGTGTGGACCTCTGCATGGCGCTTGACCAACTTGACGCCTCCCCCGTTTGCGGAGTGGAACAGCAGGGCTTCATCCATCGCCGAGATCCGCACAAATCATGCGCATGCCCGAATCATTCACAGCACATGGGCCGCCACGGTAGTCGCGCGGCTGAAGGACGAGGAGGTGCTGATGAAGCGCAGACAAAAGCCTTTCAACGAGGACAGGCCACCGAGAGGGGGCAAGGGAGGACGCGGCCAGGGAAAGCCCGAGGCCGCCGCCCAGTGAGTCATTGGAGTGACTTGCCGGGCTGTATGTACAGTTTGTTTTGCAAGAGTCGTAGTGATTTCGCCAGTTTTCTTCGCTCTGCCCACCGGAGGGATTGTTCTTCATCCTCCGCGGAGCTTTTGCCTCTGCCGATCCCTTTTGCCTGGCGACAGGCCCCATCCTTGAGAGGTTCCAGGCGCCGATGCCGTAGGTATCGTGAGCGACGGGCTCTTGAGTTGATGGTCAATCTTGAGGTTGTAGCTCTCAACTTTTCTTATCTTGGGGGTCCTCGTAGGTGTCCCGCTAGTGGTTGCCGCGGGGAGCTCCGGGATGGCCAACGGCAGATAGTTGAGAGTCTTTTGGATCGCACGCGCTCGTGGCGCCGCCTGGTTGGGGATCTCTCGACCGGTAGCGGCTCTAAAATCCTTGACGCACAGTCTGAATTAGTGCAACTTGAGGCTAAGCTAGATGATCTTGCTGAGCTTGTTTATGGTGCCTCGAAGCAGGCATCAAGAGAACCCAACTCTGGGGGCACCACTGATGTCGTGCCAACTGTGGCCAGCGCCGTGGCTTTCCCTCAGGAGCTATCGGATTTTAGTCCTGAGCCTTTTCTCCCTGAACCCTTCCTAACCGCTTTCACGTCTCCAGCGACGCTCCTGGGGGATCGCTGTCCAGGGCCGCCGCCTGTGATCAATGCGTCGGAGAAGGGAGAGCTTTGGCATCTGTGTTGGCGGTGGGATAAGGTTGGTAGGCTTTGTCTTGCGTTGCCGGAAGAGATTGATCAAGCCGATAGATGCAATTTGTTCTGTCTAGCTAAACCTGATGGCGAGCTTAGACAAATTATTGACCGCCGCCCGCGAAATCAAGCCGAAGCGGATCCTCCGAAGGATGGGCCTAAGATGGGCCACGCTAGTGTGTTCCTGAACCTAGTCGTGCCGGCACAGGGTTGCATTCGGGGTTCGGTAGATGACCTTAGGAACTTTTATCATGCCTTTAAGGTATCCACCGAGAGGGCCCTCAGTACCCCAATAGGCCCAAGCTGGCACGCTGGGGATTTTGCGGGATCTGATGCATTGGCTGCTCTGCGTCGCAGATTTCCAGGACGTGCCATTGGACATGGCACTCAGGTCTTCACCTGTTTCGCAGGGTTATCTATGGGAGATAAGTGGGCCCCTGCCATAGCTCAGGTTAGTCACGAAGCAGTGCTGAAGGCCTTTGGTGCTCTTGATGAGCATGAGCATTTGAAACTTGGGTACCCGGTCCCTCGCGCACCCCTAGGGCATTATTCGGGTGTCTGTATTGATGACAAGTTATCCTTACAGGTCTTCGAACGTTTTGTGCCTGTTGGGACGCCTGCGGAAGTGACGCCCGCAAGAGACCTTCAAGCTTGTGAGCAGGCAGATACGGCGTACCGGGCAGTCGGTCTTGAGGCCCATCCCAAGAAGAAAGTGCGTAGGGCTGCTGATTTTAAGGTCTGGGGAGCTCAATTTCAGGGGAACAAAGGGCTCGTAAGTATGGATTGCACTCGCCTGGCGGCCTTGTGTCTGCTCACTGCTCAGGTCGCTTCAGTAGGAGCGTGCTCGGAAAGGCTCTTGCATAAGATCTTGGGGCTGTGGGCGTTCGCTTTTCAGTTTAGGCGACCTTTGTTTTCTCTGTTCGATAAGGCCTACAAGGTTGGTCATCCTGAGGGTGATTTTGTGGCCCCCTTCAGATTGCCCTGGGATCTTATACAGGAGCTGCAGCTTGCCTCGTGCCTGGGCGGTCTGGCGTCGACTTCTCTTAAGGCACAAGTCTCTTCAACGTTGTTCGGTACGGACGCATCGCCCGAGGGCGCTGGGATCGTGGCGTGCCACGTCGGCACACCCATCGCTCAAGAGTTGTTCAGGCGCACAGATGGTAGGGGCTTCCACACTCGTCTGCTCTCAGAGGTAGGAGCTTACTTGCATGTTGCAGGGTATGGTTCCGATGAGCCCGACTTCCTTATTCGTACAGCTAACGAAGACGACCCGCGCCCTACACTAGCGGGGTTAACAGAGGTGGAGTTGACCCTACCCTCTTTGTGCCACACGTCACTGCAACTTGATGCTGAAGCGCTCGAGTTGCTACAAAAATTCGCCTTGGCATCTTTGCGAGTTCGGGACATGAGCACTGAAGGGTTCAGGCTTGACTTCTTGGAGGTTTACTCGGGTTCCGCTAGGATTTCTGCATCTATGCTGGAGTCGGGTTTTACGGTGGGACCTCCGTTGGACCTGAACACTGGGTGGGATCTTCGTCAAGACCAACTCTTCATGCTCCTAGTCAAGTTGTGCGAGGCTGGTAGGGTAGGAATGTTGTGGATAGCTCCTCCGTGCACGACGTTTTCATTGGCACGTTGCCCGAAGCTGCGTTCTATACATGAGCCCTGGGGCTTTGAGCCTTTAGACCCAGAAACCTGTGAAGGCAACCTCCATATGCATCAAGCTCTTGCCCTCTTTAACCTGCAGCTTCTAAAGGGGAACGAAGCCATCGTTGAAACACCGTGGGGAGCTTTCTCGCGACACCTACCGTGGTGGAAGGCCTCAGTTCTGAGGGGTTGTGAAGTTAGGGTCGATCAGTGTCGCTTCGGGACTCCTTACCTGAAGCCTACTGCCTTGCTTTGTTCCTCAAAACAGCTTGCTCCCCTAGGGCGGCGCTGCCGGTGTCGTAGTGCTCATGAGCGCCTGGAGGGCGCTCGCACCGCGCAGGCAGCAGCGTACCCACTCGCATTCTGCCAAGAGGTTGCGAAAGTGATCGAGGCGGTTGCAAAAGTTCGGCATGCGGCTCAGGGAGTTCAGCAGGCAGCAGGGGGGTTAGAGCATGAACCGGAGGTCGGAGACGTCAGAGACCATAGGGGGGCTCAGCGCTTTGTTAGTCATCTTTGGGCTGCGCAGCTTGCGGAGAGCCTTCCGTGGCGTACCATTAGGGCCTATCGGTTCAAGCGATCAAATCATATCAACGTTCTGGAGTGCCACGTGTATAAAACCCTGCTGCTGCTAGCTCCGATGAATCACCGGCTCGTGATCCTGCAGGATTCCATGGTAACCCTAGGGGCAGCTGCGAAGGGAAGAAGTTCAAGTAGGTCTCTGAATAAGATTCTTCGTCAAGCTATGTCCATCCAAGTTGCTAAAAACATTTATCCTTCAGGTATTCATTGCCCCACATGGGCATTACGAGCCGATGATCCTTCCCGCAAACGTCGCGTTCGTCCAGCTCGAACTGCCTTGCCTAGGTGGTTTCTAGCCTTGAAACAAGGCCGTCTGGTTCAGGCTCAGGATGAGCTTGATGACATATCGGGAGCACCTCGGTCCTGGAACAGGTGGGCGCTTTTCACAGGTGTGGCTCTTTTGGCTGCTAGTGGTGGCTTCGGTAGCTTTAGTGAGTGGGCCACGTCCGCCCACGCAGCCCCGGGACCGTCGGGATCTCGAGCGAGGCCGAGTGACAGCTGTCACAGCAAGCTTGAGGGCACAACTCTTGGCGGCATTTCAAGAGTGGGTGATGGAAGAAGAACCGCAAGCCCCTCCAGTGGCGGAGATTGCTCAGCAGAAGCCGATTCAGCTGGCACTTCTTTTAGAAGAATACGGACGCACCCTGTACGAGCAGGGCGCTCCCCGGAGGGACTATGCGGAGACCATCAACATTCTGGTGCAGAGATTTCCTTTTACAAAGAGCTTCCTGGCGGGCCCTTGGAAGCTTTTGACCACGTGGGAGACTTTGTGGCCAGGGAAACTTCACCCTCCCATGCCGCTGGTGCTCATGAAGGCCTGTGTGACAACTGCCCTGACCTGGGGCTGGAAGCGTATGGCTCTGAGTCTGTTGCTAGGCTTCTACGCCTTGCTTCGCTGTTGCGAAGTCATTGCACTGAAAGTCAGCGACTGTCTCATGTCGTCAGAGAGCGGGTGCAAAGACGTCGTTTTCCTGCGTCTGACGCTGGTCAAATCGAGGACTCGAGGAGCCAGGATGCAAAGCGTCAGGGTAGACGTGCCTTATGTCATCAACTTTATGCAGACTTGTTTCAAGACTATGGAACCCTCAGAAAGGATATGGCCTCACTCTTCAAGCCTTTTCCGTGTGAGGCTCCAGCAGTTGCTCAAAGAGGTAGTCAATGATCCTCATGTTTGCGTTCCCAGTTCTTTGAGACCTGGTGGAGCCACGTACTGGTTTCGTGAGTGGGGAGAAGACCTACCGCGACTGCAGTGGCGCGGGCGTTGGCTCCATTTCAAAACCCTCGCGCACTACATCCAAGAACTAGGGTGCGTCAATGTTTTGGAGTCTATCCCCGCTACATATAAGCTCAAAATGCAGCGCTTAGCCGAATTGTGTGAACCAGCTTGCCAGCAAATGGCGCCGGAGGTGGATCTGCTCACGCAGGTCCAAGTGCTAGTGGCGAAGTGCCATCGCGTGTTCCCAGGGCTCCGCACTTTGTGACGTCACGTCCGAACTCAGCAGTCCCGCCCATCCCGCCCGAGTAATGTTGTTGGGAAGACGGGTGCATAATTATGCGCTCTCA